CGCCCCGCGCACCTGGACGCCGCTCCCGCCCGGGGGTGACCCGGGGAGCGTGGGGTGGCGGCGGGGAAGGAGCAGAACCCCAGGTGCAGGGGGAAGGATGAAGCGGCTTTCTGGAGCGCAGCGCACATTGCGCACTGCCGGGCGCTGCCAACACCGACCTGCCCCAGGGCAAGTAAATGGTTACTGGCGTTCGGTACTGCCTGCAACAACAGAGCCGGAATATCAGGGACGGCATTTACCAAGGAGAGGGCAGATACGGAGAAAATGCTGTTTTACTTAAAGAGAAATTTCTCCAAGACATAAAAAAACCGGAGAAATCAACTAAATTCACGGCGAAGGGCATTCAGGTTAAGCGCCGTGCCAAAGGCGTTCGGTGTTGGCAGTGAAATACTCGGATCGCTGCTCTGGGATCGTGTCGACTGTCACAGGCAAGGGCGTCTCTGGGTCAAACCTGTACAGCTATCCTTGTCCTACCTACATTGTTAGGCAGTAGCCCTGTTTCTCCTCCTTACTCTATACAGAGCTTCTTTGTTCCCTCAATGATCATCTAATGCCATATTCTGCCAACTGCCATGATGCCAATTTTTCAGCCTTTGTCCTTGACTGATCTTGATGTACGAAGATAGGGCAGACGTGTTCAAAAGGCAGTGCTCACACCCAAGACTGACATGGGCTGCGTAGTCTCATGACTGTGGGCAACTTGCAGGCATGGCCAGCTCCCAAAATGCTCACAGGAAAATGCATATTTTAGCATTTGTACAGCTCCTATTCTTATATTTGCTTATTTTATAAATTTAGCAGTGAAAGTGATGGCAGAGCAAGAATACACTTCTGGAGTATTTACTGAACTAATGTCTAATTTTGTAATACAGCTTCCAGAATAGCAAAGACAGATTTGAAAAAAGGACTGATAAACCATGAAATAGAAATGCCACATAAAACAACTTCAAGACTGGCAGAATGAAATATTAATGGCAAAGAAAGTAGTCTCAGGTTTCCTCTAGACTTTATAATTTATTTTTAATTATGCACATGAAATGTATGAACATACAAATAATTAGGCAACTTTTTACTTCTTCTGTGCTCATTTATTTGTAGGACAACAATCACATACACTTTGCTCTGTAGTGCACATCTCTTTGTGACTGTGTCATCAGCCTAAGAAGAGAAAAAATTATTAGCAATAAGAAAAATAGATGTGATGAAAGTGGTCAGAAATATAACATCCTGCATTTCTATCTGGAGAGAAATGTTTACAGGGAAAAATAACCACAGCACCACAAGGTTTTCTATAGTATAAGGAATTTTTTCATGTGGCATATTAATTGCTCTGAGGCCATAATCCCCAAAGACTTCTTAGCTGTCAGAAACATAAATTATGTTTTTTATACTTTAAAGGGACAACAACCACATACACTTTGCCCTATAGTGCACATCTACAGGTATTGACTTTGCATCATTTTATGTACAGCATGGAAGTGAAACCAAGAAAAAATATACCCCACTGTATACGTGTTAAAATAAAAAGCAAGATGAAAAGATAAGCTATCATTAGTCACTTTTGTTTCCTTGTCACTGAGCCATTTTTAAGGTATTCAATTTACAACCTTCATTTATTGTAGACACTGTAAGAGATGTATTATTTCCTAAGAATTTGCATGTTAAAGATAGAAAGCTGAGAGGGAATATTCACACAAGAGAATATATAAAAATACAGATCAGCCACCTTATAATTTTAAAGCTGGGAGTGAGTTAAAAGAATAGCAAAAGCCAAAATGCAAAGTACTGAGGAAAAAAGGACATAAATCAGTTCAGTATCTTGACTCCTAAAAGACGTCAAAGATCTTCAGAACTTGTGTCCAGCTAAGTCAAAAGCATTTGTATGTGCACACTTACTATGAACATCCTGTACACTTATGTCCTCTCTTGTTTCTTCTTTCGTATTCCATTACATCTTCATTATGCTGCTTGATAAGCTATAAAATAGAAGTATATTATAAACACCTATACAATTCACAGCTGAATCCAGACAACAAAAAGAGTTCTACAGAATATAAAATACCTGTTATCAAAATGCAAACCAATATGTAACTGGGACCATCCAGAACACAACATATGTTAATTATCAACTGAAAAAGGTGTGGAAACAATGCTTCATAAGACAAACATTTTCTCCTGACCAGATGGGGGGGCTTCCACTGCTGATTAATTCACCACTGCCAAAAAAGGGGAAAAACCCCAAAGGGAATCCATCCCACCCTGAAAACATGTCACCATGGGAGTGCTGCTTATCCTGCATGATTCCTCCTGAGAGCTACTACATCCTGCTTGCTTTAATACCATAAAGTCTGTGAGTTCTCTGAAACAGAGAATATCTTCCATCTGCACTCTGCTCAGGAAAAAGGAATCTTAATCTATTGAAATCAGCCACCTTAACCAGCTGAAAAGTGAGAAGAGAATTGGTAGTCTGATAAACACAACATTATCTGGGTACATCCCTAGGTTTTCTTTCTTTTTGGAAAGACCATGGGGAGAATAATGCCAAAGCATTAATCCAACAGGCTTGAAGAATTAATTTTGTTGTGGCTGTTTTAAGAAGCTGAAAAGGTTGTTCATTTCTTAAAATAAGAGCACAACATAAAAACATAAGTATGTGAAAACATTAATAATGAATCATGCTTCAATCTTGACACCTGCTATGACCACCCATTACTCCAATAAACTCAGTAGGTCGCAGTCACTGCATTCATATCACTATTATGATTTTTACGGAATAGTTAAGTTCAACAAAACCAAATAAAAACACTTACAAAAGCCCACAAGGCAGCACTGGTGCTAAACGCCAAGCCAACTCTCAGCCAGTTTGGCTGGGCATTATTCATTTTTTTCACAACAAATGCAGAACGAGTAAAAGCTGAAAAGGCACAAGATTACAAATGCATTAACATTCCTCAGGGTTCGACTACAAAGTACTTAGTGACATTCATACAATCACGGAAAAAATGCAAACCACGACGCAAACCCCAAATGAATGCAATGATGAAGTAGTCTCTATAACATTGTTATAGACAATCCATTCATAGCATCCCCACAGCATACGCTCCCTGATCCGAGAGGGTACGGGGACTGCCAACAACTCAAAAGCAGTATTCCCCGGCCACAAAAACTATTTCCCTCAGCATCTTCTGCTCTATAAGGATGCCTCTCGCTGTCTCCTGCCTAAAGCCCCCCACCCCCGGGCCTTCCTCACCTCCCATCCCCCACCCATCAAGTGCGCTCCGCGAACAGCCTTCCTGGGAAGGGCCGCCACCAGCATCGCGGCGAGACATGGTGAGCCTTCCCCCCTGTTGCTGGAAGCAACACCAACTTAAAACAGATAAATAAAAAATTTAAAAATAATTAATGGGCTTCGATTAAAAATACTAAAAGGAGAGAAGCTGCGACCGAATCTTCCTCTAACCCCAGACGCGGACTGGCTCGCGGGGACGCTGCCGCCTGCAGGCAGCAGGGCTCCCGCGGCCCTAGGTCAATAGGCCGGGCTGGGCCGGGCCGGGCCGGGCAGCAGGGCAGCCCACCAGCCTACCCCAAAGGGGCTCTCACCCTACCGCCGCTCACCAAGGCTGGGTGGTGGTGGTGCTGGTACTGCCGCTACCACCAGCCCCCAACGCCTCACCGCCCTCAGGCCCGCCGCCATCTTGTTGACCAGACCCGGCTCCGCCCTCGGGGGTGGGACCACCCCGCCCCGCCCGTGCCCCGGCGGGCGAGCTCCGCCGCGTAAGGCACGGCGGACCCTACGCAACCTGATGGCCCTCCGCTCTT